TCATCGCCCTTGTGCCTCCCTCCTCCGTTGTCAGTTCTTTCAATCGTGTTTGCATCTATTCACTACAGAGTCCCTGCAGTGCCCTTCGGCTCCCCCACTACCTTGCGCGATTTCGTCCACTATCAGGTCGTTTTGACTCTTGCCCCCCGCATACGCCCGAGGCACCGGTTGGGGGCATTCGCAGCGAGACGGCCCAACACCCAGCATTGCCTTGTGGCTGAGGGGCTCTGCTTAGCACAGGCACGAACCTGTGTGGCACAAGTCTTCGGCACGTCTGAGGCAATGTGTTTCTAGAGTTCGCTTTCCTGTGGCAGCCCCCACATGTACCTCGGCAGCCAGGAAATTGAGATCCCGGTCACCATCAGCACACGAGCCATGACCTCAAGTGTGTCTTGACACGTTTGGATATCGACCATACATTCAACCTCGCACCGTACTAGCCTCGCAGACTTGCCAAAGCTGCTTCAGTGGCACATCAAGCAAAGCCGCCGGCATACATACTTTAACGGTTAACAGGTGCAAAAGACATCCTGCAATCAGAGTTTGCTCCAGCCCTTGTGCGACAGTCTTTTCATTTGTAGTTGCCCCGCACTTGGTTCCCTTTCTGCCAGGTTTTCGTGGGCGGAGTGGGATTAGGGTAATTGGTAAATTAAAGTTTTCCGAACCCCGCAGGAGATTTCCACTGAACTTCTAAGAGAACTGCAGGTGCTTGCTGAGAGCAGACAAGCCTCGATGTGGAAGCGACGGCTGCGCAACAACCAACACTAACCAAACACAATGTGACACAATGAGAGAACGCTTGAACAAATGTATGGCAGGTGTCAACAAAGAGTTTGGGAGATTCTGATCCCACAACCTCATATAAATCTTGAGCGTGCTCTGCAGGCCAGTGTTTCGGCAGGTGCTTGTCCGCGTCGTATCACTGCCGGCTACAAGAAGCTTGTATGTATGTTCTGGTCTGAAAGTGTCCCAGATTTGCTCGAGATTGTACGACATGCTCTAACTGTTCCTTTTTCCTGCCCGTTTAACGCTCACAAAGCCAGAATCGAGGCGATCATGTTGGCAGCACAGCTCATCATGTGATCGCGAAAGTGCATTCTTTGGCCCAGTCGTGCGCGCACGAGAATCTGAAGACATCTGGGCTTTATTTAGCCTCCGTACAGACTTTCCTTGTGCAGTTTCGATGTGTGTTTCGCTTATATTGAATTGTACCTGCTGGGGATCTCCACGTCACATTACGTCACACTACTAATTAAATTGAAGCATGGCTGTGTCTGCGTGGGTGTGTGTGTGTGTGTGTTCCTTCATTCTTGCTTACAGTCTTTCGGCACATGGCATGAGCTCTTCGTGCCATGCCGACTGGCTTGACTTACTGCCGACTGGCTCCACTTACTTACTGCGTGCGCTTGACTCGATGCGAAACTTGTCGTGGTGGGAGCTCCTAGGTGTTTCGACGCCTTTCTTAATGATTTTTCAGTTTTAAGGGGGGCTTGCCTGTACCTCGCAGCAGAAATCTAGATGTGTCAAGAAAGCTAGCTGAATGCCGACAACAATGCGGATGCCGTCTGTGCATTGATTTACTGGATTTATGACGGAAGCTTGGACATGTGATGCTTGGCTTGACTGAGACTCTCGTGGTCAAGGAGCTGATCTCACAAAAGCCTTTAGCCCAGCGAGTGCGTCAGCGGATTCCGGTTGGTCTGGTTTGGGCCCTGCCGAGGACAGGCGTCCATGTTGACGACCTGAAAATCATGGCGAAATCTGGGTCCTTTATGAGGATGCTCAAGAACTCGGATGAGGCGGGTGAGACACCATGAAGCCATGAACCTAAGCAGAAGGAACATGTCCAACGTCCAACCTCGAATAAACCCAACACTGCAGCACAGGTGCGCTCCAGAGTTTTTGTCAAAGGCACGGAGCGAGTGCGGCTCGGGTGTTTCCAGGGTGAGCCTAACATACTCAGATTACTCAGCAGGTGTTGAGAGTTTTTCGAGGAAGAAGCAGTCGCTCCGCACTCAGCACAGACACCGGTGTAGCTAGCATCAGCAATGTGCAAAAAGCGACGCATGCAAGAGTTGCGTGGTCTACGAAACTGCAGGCTGTTTCACTTAACCACTCAGAATTGGGAGCAACACGGATCATGGACCCTTCATACTTACAGCCGTGGCATCCGGAGGGTCCCGGTAAGAAGGTATCAGCATCCTCACGGAATTATCGGAGCTGGTCACAACGGTCTGCGCCAGGCCTAGCTTGCTGCCAAGTATGCTGCGTTCCCGGTTGTGCCATATACGGGTTCTTTGCCAGGCGCTTGTCTTCGCCGAGCATAAAGACACCAACTTCGTTCTTTTCGATCGTCACAACAGGCAGCGTCTCAGTCACCCGAATGTGATGTTCCAGAGGGCATTTTTCCAGCCACCCTGCAGCAGTACAAGCGCCGGCGGAGACTTGCAGGGAGTCGGCGGGGCTGGATCGGGGACGTGAAAGGAAGTGCAACAGGCATGTGGATACACATCGGGACGTGCATTGTTCAGGAATGAGGAGCAAAGGAACAGGACCCGAAGCTGCGAACGGTAGCTTGACTAGTTGGAGCTCCTCGAGGGAGGGCTCCGGTGCCGACTGGTACAAGTACTGAAGGTTTCGTAAACATACCTTCACTGCCAGAGCGAGAGACGAGGCCTGTTATCTTTCCATTGCGATGAAAACTGCTTAGGGTGGACAAAACCGATCGAGATTTGCAGCGCGGGCTGTCCCTGCCAGCATCTGGACTGCTGTCGAGGACCCCCCCGTGGCCGGTGTGTCGTCCTCGAATCGTGGCGATAGTTGGGTCCGGCACGTCCGGTGCCTTCGCATAGATAGCCTGGTCCGGAATTTGCTGTTTTGCACATGTCGTGATGCCTGCACGCGCTGACACTACCTGACACTCTATGATCTGGAATCAGGCAGCTGATGGGTTGGGCAGCGGCATCTGACTCTGGAAGCACCACAAGTCAGTACCGGAGCCTATCGAGCATTGGAACCAACCTAAGAAACAATGAGTTGTAGGTGTATATATGGTTGCGCCCCGGTGGGCCCCCCCCCCCCCCCCCCCCC